CCAATGGTTCTATAAGGCCATAACTATTCAACTATTTCTCGCTTCAAGGACGATTCGATTTCGGTCATGGCTGCCACTGACAATTATTGTACGTATTACATCTTGTACATACTATTTTCCTTATTTGAAAATATGAGAATAATACATTTTTTAGGCCGTCCTCGGAGTTTTTCCTGGTACCGTGACATATTTTACAATGGATTAGATTGACTCAAATTTCGAAAAATCGTAGAATCAGAGAACGCTCTGTGTTTTCGAAGGGATTTGTTTTTTAACGGATTTGAGTCAGTTTTTTAAATAAATGTTCTCATTATAAGAATTCGTGAAATTTCACCTCGAGTTTTCACCCAACTTTCCTGACTTCTTTAATCGAATGGCGATTACTAGATAAAACGAACAGTTTTCGCGTCATTTACCACGATGTCAGGTCAGAGTGGAGGGCATCGCTTAAGGTTGTCCAAACTCAACGATCAGCTGACGTGCAAATTATGCGGTGGATATTTCATTGATGCCACTACTATCATAGAGTGTTTGCATTCGTGTACGTGTATTCTTCTGTCGCTTTTTTAATCCTTCTGTCTGTGGTGAATAAATACAGTTTCATCATTGCAAAAGGGTTAAGCAACGATTCCAACATATTGATGTAAGCGACGATTGTCTAATATGTGAGGTACGGGTGCACAAAAGTAAACCACTAATACATTCTTATAATCTCACGTTATCAAACAGCTTTTCTCATAATCCGAGATTCCTAATTGCAATGGAGTTTCGATCGTCCGGGTCCTGTCTCACCCAGGTCTCGTATTATCCTTCCAACTTCACCATAAATTCATCCGTTTTCGAAATTTTAACACGAACACTACGAGGACGTAAATCCTCGAATATCGTGAGATTTAATTAAACTTTCAATCGATTAACTAATTAATTAAATCTAAATGCACGCGCGGCATCGCATCATCGAAACGTATCCTGCGATTCTGTTTTGATTCACGAACACCGATAGACCCTTAAAACGTATTTTATCATAATTTCAGAAGCCTGATTATCCGAATAAAATCATGATAAAATACAAGCATCTGGAAATGTTATTACGACAGACACAACTGAAATCCCATTGTCAACGTTACAAACGTTCATCAAATATTTCGAATATGCAAACTGTCGATGCTCAATCAATAAATAAATTAATCGCGCGAATGCTATGGCAAACAAAAGTAGTGGGTCGTACAGGGAAGGAAGCAATCATTGACCCGTCGTAAGGTAGAAAAGCGGCTCGGTGGATCCGCAAGGCAACAAACGCTTGCCGATCATTGCTTGCACCCAGCAATTTTTCAACGGGAGCATCTCGTCGCCAGCGTTTTTCCGCGCCGCTCCAAGGTAGCCGTGAGCAATCTCGCTGCTATACACCACCACCACACGGATGAACCATCTACTTGGCGTATCAGCCTGAAGAGAGAGACTACACGACGGCGAATCCTCTCCACCGCATCTTCGAAAACGTAGTAGCGTCCTTTTCCAACCTGAAGCCTTACAGCTTTCACGATGCTCGTCGTCCTCGGCGCTGCGTTTGTTCGTTGCGCGTCTAAGCGGGCGCTTGCGCGTGGAAA